ACACACAGGTTGGATGGAAGAAGAGGAGAGTTTTAGAACCCAGGGCTCTAAAACCCTCCTCTTCTTCCATCCAACCTGTGTGTTCAGCTTCTGGTTCTGATCTTGCACCTTGGTAGTTCTACCAGAACCTTTGTCCCGACTAAACCGGTTAAACTGTTTTCAGATCCAGACGGCGAAGACGGTGGAGATGAACCTGCTGAGGGAGCAGCAGGAGGCGCTGACGGCCGAGCTGCAGCAGAACCGATCAGAACAGGAGGTTCTGCTGGCCCAAAGAGACGACCTGAACTCTCAGCTGCAGGTACGCTGATAGAGGCACGCAGGGTTCTGACCCGGCCCGGCCCGGCCCATCAGACACGATTCTGTTCTGCCTTCAGGAGTCGAGCTTCGCCAACAGGAAGCTGCTGGAGCAGCTGACGGAGGAAGGGCAGGAGAAGGAGCGGCTGCTACGGGAGCTGGACGAGGCCAAAAAGGTACAAAACACACAGAACAAACGGTCCTCGCTTTACTAGCAAAATAGGACAGATGTGTTCACGCATGCTTGTTGCGAGCAGACGGCGGAGAAGAGGAAGACCATGCTGGACGAGATGGCCACACAGATGCACCAGGTGAAGTCCGACCACAAGGAGGCGCTGTCTGACCTCAAACTGCAGCATGAGAAGGAGGTGAGTCTGCTTGAAGTTCTGACCCAGCTCAGCTTCTAGAGAGGAACAAGCAGGAATAAACCGTCTCCTCCCTCAGGTTTTGGGTGTCCGGGCGCGCTATGAGAAGGAGCTGCGAGTTCTGCACGAGGAGAAGAGCCGCTCTGAGGAGGAGATCCGACAGCAGCTCAGGGAGGAGAAGGTAACGACCCCCCAGGAGGAGAACTGCTGGGGTTCAGAACCGGGAGCAGCTAGATCCTTCCGGCTGGTTGGAATCAGGATGTAAAGATGCAGGTTTGGTTTCCAGGCCCGAGCGAAGGAGCTGGAGGGTCTGCAGCCGCAGGTGGAGGAGCTGCAGGCTCAGGTTCAGGCCATGGAGGGAACCAAGGGATGGTTCGAAAGGCGCCTGAAGGAGGCTGAGGTGGGTGCAGAAGCAGCAGGTTCGATCCAGCCCCTCTGAATCTGCAGTGGGGTCAGTAAAGCTCAGATGTTTGTGTTCCTCTGTGTGAGCAGGAAAGCCTGGAGAAGAACGCAGCCCAGCATCAGGAGGACCTGCAGAGGCTGCAGGAAGAGCAAACACATCAGCTGGAGGTAAGCAGGTTCTGTCTGCGCGTACAGGTAGAGGTCAGAGGTCGTAGCACACAGTAATCCGTTTAATGTTTGAACCGTTTTTGAGTTGCCGGGTGTTAATGAGGCGTGCTGCTGGCAGTGACCAGCAGAGGGCGCAGCAGATCTCCTGCTGGATCCCATCTGCTTCTGTTGACCATCTCAGAGGGAACCACCGCGCCGTGGTGGACCTCCGCTTCCTCCTCCGAGCGTCTGAAGCAACCAGGCCGCCGAGCTGATCTCAGCTTCTGCTCAGCAAATATAAATAAACCTGCGTAGGCGGGGACTGTGAGCTCTAATTAAATGTTTCTAATTAAAGTGTTGCGGTCTCCATGGTAACGCAGAGAGGTTACAACTGTTTGAGCAGCGGATCAGAGTGGGAGCTTTCCACCATCCGTCATGATTCTGACTAAATGAAAGCTGTTAATTAAGCTGAATGAGCTCATCTGCGGGGTTCTGGTTCTGGTTCTGGCTCCAGTCTTTGGGTTTATTTCAGACCTGCAGGGTAACTTCCACAGAACTCCGGTGGTTTGGACCTCAGCTTGCAGTCTGAGCGGCGGTGGGAGGGTTGCCAGGGCGACTTCCTGCAGGGGCGAAGGGTTTCCTCTGGGACGTGGCGCTGATTGGACCGTTATCAGAACGGCAACAGCTGGGGGGGGAAATGAAGTGAAAAGTTAATTAATGATGGAGCGGGTCTGATTAGGGGACCTGTGGGGGTTAGTGGGCCCGGTCTGGGATGTTCTGGTCGGAGCCACTGTGGTGGAGAGTCAGACTGGTTCTAGAGGATGGAAACCAGTTCAGACTGGATCTCCTGGATCATCAAAACCGGCAGGCTGGTTCTGATGATCGGCTGCAACAGAACCATCAGTTAGAACGGAGCAGAGAGTCCAGAACTCTGAGCCATCCATCCAACCATTCATCCTTCCAGCCATCCATCCAATAATTCATCCAACTATCTATCCAACCAACATCCAACGATTCATCCTCAATCAATCCATCCAACCATCCATATATTCATCCATTCATCCAACCATTCATGTAACCACAGGGTTCCCGCAGGTCCTTAAAAAGTCTTAAAAGGCATTGAATTCTTCAAAATCAAACTAAGGGCTTAATTGGTATTAAAATGTCTTAAATCAGTCTTTCGTAGGTCTTAATTTTTAAAACACCATAAATAGGATTATTTTTATTACGGTTTATTTTTGTAATCTAAATAAAACACTAAAATTGACACATTTTTTTTTTATTTAAAATAACAGCTCGCCATTATTGGTTCCATCCCAATAGCGGAACCAATAAAGCGTTGTTGCGGCCGGGACATTTGGGCGATGCACCATTAACTTTTTGTCTGTAAATATGAGCAAGTGTAAATGTAACCAAAATTGTCTCCAGCCAAGAGTTTCCTCCATGGCTAAAACCAGGGAACATACATGAGGCTCAGTGGATTTATGCAAGAAGTCATTCAAGCTCAGAACGATGGGAATTAAGGCAGTGGAGTCGCACATGAGAAGCACGAAACACAAAGCGTCAAAATATTTCTCAGTTTAGTTCCACCCTTGTCTCTGCAACGCCTCCACTTATCACCAAATCAAACAT